AGTACTAGGCAGGTTCTTAAGTCTCTGAGCTATATATCTGGCCCCCCTACAAAGGTTTCTGTTGCCACTTTTTGTTGCAAACTTTTCCATTCCAGGAATAGTTCAAATATCTTTGGCACGTGCTTGGCTCAGGCTTCTGTGGAGATTTGTGTCACCCCTGCTGCCCAGCTTTCCCTAGTGGACTGTGGCCAGTGATGGATGTCCCCTCAAGGTCCATGAATGGGTGGGCGGGCACAGCCGGTCAGGTGCTTCCTGGTCTCCACGTTGGACACTGCCTAGTCCTGCAATAACAGGAAGCCTCCTCATTTGCACATCCTGTGTTCTGGGTCCGGGCCTTGCTGCCTCGCTGCCTCGCCGCCTCGCCGCCTTGCCGCCTCGCCACCATGAAGGTCAGTGGCTGCTTATGTGTTTGTGTGCGTTAGACTCTTGCAGACTCTGGAACTAGTCCATAGCGGCCAGGGCCATCAGATCGTCCGTGTGAACATGTCAGTTAGGGGACTTGCGGGTCTGTGTGTGGGAAAGCTGAGGCCTATTCATGTTAGATCTACCCCTGCCTCCGGACCCAGGGCTTTGCGCAGGGCCCCGTCCTGGCCCCTTTTGGATGTTCTTGTTCAGTCACAGGCACTCACTAAGTCCTGAGTTGTCCAGGCTGGCTCACACTTGGACTGTCTCGTGTGCCACCAGCCCAGTTTAAGGTTAATACTTCCAGTTCTTTAAAAAGCTGCAGCTTAGCCTGTATTTGCCAGTAAGAGTGTGGTTGGTCAGTCTAGCTGGAGCCGCATTTGGAGAGTCGAACCCCGAGCCCTGAGATTGTTCTAAAGCCTCTGTTCTGATGAGTGCTTGGGCTTGCTCGCTTCTGGGACCCTCCTTGGGCGTGGAGGGTGAGTGTTAGTGTGCAGGTTCCTTCTGCGTGCACCATAGGCAGTGCCAGTGAGCTGTGCGTCAGGCGCCTTTCTGTCCCAGTGACTTGTTAGCCTCTGTGCTGAGATAGTTTTCCAAGTTCTTGGTCTTCTTTTCTTTATTCAGTGTGAGCAAGTACTGCAGAACTGGCTTCATCTTGTTATTTCAGAGAATGTGTACAGAGGAGTGTTAACTGGAGAGGGACCCAGGCCCTTCACCCTGAGCTACATTCCTAGTCCCCCCTGTCTGTCCGTCCGTCCTTCCATCCATCTGGTGTCAGGGCCTCGATAGAGGTTGCCCATGTTCAACCTGAACATGAAATCCCCCCTCAAGCACTCCTCAGAGTGCCTGGATGACTGCTGTGCCTTGTCATAGCTCACTGCTTAGCGTCTCTTGATGTTAAGTTCACTGGACCCCCTCCCTCCCCAGGACACACCTGGCTTGTATTTGCTGAGTATTGAGAGAGACATAGTTGACCACTTGTGCTCCAGGATGGCATGTAGACATATCATGGACTTATTTGGGGCCACCTGGTTGGGGCTCAAGTACATTCCTAGGCCTGTCTGCCTCAGGAAGCAAGACGAGGAAGACTTAGTCCGGAAGGAAGGAGGTGGGCGGGAGGTAGGAAGCGGGAGAGTTCCTGGCAGACTCTGCTAGGAGACCCAGGGTGGGGGTGGGAAGGTGGGTGCAGGGCAGGGGCTGTGCCAGCGCGTCCCCTCCCATGACCCATTTTGCCCCAGTGAGAGAGCACACAGCATGTTACACATTTGGTGCCTGAACAGTTTTTTTCTTGCCTCCGAGACTTATTTCAGGTTTTGTAGGGTAGTGAATGGTTTGATTACTAAAATTACTTTTGTGTGTTTATTTGGTGATTGCAAATGGCATGTCGTCTTTAGCCAGTGTTTGGAAGAGCTGTGCATATTTCAGCATGCCACGTGAGTTACTTGTGCACATGCGTGTGCGTGCACACACGTGCGCGCGCACACACACACACACACAGCTGCCTGCATCTGGGTGTGCTTCTGGGCTGTTTCTAACGCTAGGTGGGTGGTATGAAATTCTTCAGCCTGCCTGCCTGCTGCACCCCGTTTGACAGCTCAGCTGCCAGTCTCTGGACAGTGGGCAGGGCTGCAGGCCTGGTTCTCCTCCTGGCCCTCCTGTGGAGGCCTGGCCCTCAGTGCATAGACCTCTGGCCTATGTTTTCTTGGTGCCTTTGGAATGGGCTGCATTCATTCCTTGCCAGGGCCTGAAGGAGAGTCTGGCACTGACCAAGCAGACCCTTGTGGACCCAGCTGCGTGAGGAGGAGGCAGCGAGCTTCCTGTCCCAGCTGGGCCATTCGTGCTGTAGGGAGTGACCGCTGCACACCCCTCCCACTTCCCTGTCCCATAGCTTTGCCTCTGCTTAGGCTACCAGACGAGGACCCATCACCAGCCCTGTCTGTCCTGAACCTAACGGAGACTCAGCACTAATTTTGCTTATTTATTTTTTCTTTTCAGACGTTTGATGCAAATGATTTGTATCAGGGGCAGAACTTTAACAAGGTCCTCAGTTCCTTAGTGACTCTAAATAAAGTGACGGCAGGTAAGACTTTTTTTTATTAAATATGGGGTGTTGGGGGGACTGAATCCTTTGGTATTTGCTCACAAGGCAAAGTGAACCTTGCTGGGCTGGGATATAGCTCAGCAGCACAGTGCCTGCCTGGCAAGTGCAAGGTCCTGAGTCAATTCACAATACCAAAGAAAAAGTAAACCCCAAAATCTGATGTCAGAGTGAGCACTGCTGAGCTGTGGGAGTGACTTGAGCTGCCTGTTTGGTGGTTCCGTGGTGCTGTGTGGCATGAACACAAGGGCCACAGTCCTCCCCTGTGGCAGAAGGACTGGCTTCCCACATCAGCCACCCAGTGTCATGCTGGTCACTGGCAGCTGAGCCCTGGGGAGGGCTGGACTCCTTGCCTAGTAGTGAGAGGCAGGGCCACTGGGTCTGGTGCAGGTCACACCCTCCACTGGGACACTTGCCAGCCTGCATGAGTCTCCTTGCTAAGAGCCAACCCCTCTTTCTCTTCTCAGCAGTGTAAGCTTCTGTGGCAGGCAGGGACAGGAGCAGCCTCAATGAGTGGCACCTGTGGGTCACCTTTGCTCCACCCTGTGCCCTGGCATGGGCACCACGCAGGTGCTCTCTGCCTGCACATGGTGTGGAGCGCTGGTGAGTGGCAGCAGATGCCAGAGTTCAGACCTGGGGTGCTAGGACGGTGGTTCTCACTCCCCACACCCATTGGTGTTTGGGTGGAGGCTCTGTGGCTTTCAGGTAAGGGATGAGGCATGAAAAGACCGAGATCCACAGCCTTGGGTACTTGCTGTCCCTACCAAGTGCCCCGGGCGTGATGGCACATGCCTCTAAGTCTAGCACCCGCGAGTTTGAAACCAGCCTCTGCCATATCATGAGATCCTGTCTCAAAAAAGAAAAGTGTATTCTTGATGTCCTTGGGTTTGCGTGAATGTGAACTATATAGTTTTTCTTTATGAAGTTACATGTGGAAGTTAGGTAACTTGGTGCTCTCAGGTTCCAAATAATACTAGTGATCCCTCTCGGAAAGGTTTTTGCTTCTCTGTTGGCTCCTTGCTATAGCTTTTCAAAAGTTACTGCTTGGATGCGAACTCACCCTTACGGTAAGCGTTACGTGGTTGCAGTGTCCTTGGGATGCCTGTCCCCCACAGCCCTGTCCCTTCCAGGGCAGCACCCAGGCCTGAGCTGGGTGCTAGAGAGCCGGAGTCAAGATGCCAGAACTTGCCCAGGAGCAGGATGCAGGAAACAGGGCGACCTTAGGCGTCTGTCTCCTCAGGCAGAGACTGTTCTGCGGCACCCATTGCCGGCCTTGTGTAGGACTGTCGAGGCCGTCACTTCGGCTATGACAGCCGGGGTGGCCAGGTTGTTCCCAGCAGAGCCCTGGAGTTGCTGGCAGCAGTGTGTAGCTGGGACGGGATGGAGGGGCCACCAGGCTTCTGTGCTGCCCGCGCTGCCAGGCTGCCGTGTAGCGGTGAGGACCCTGTGTTGCTGGGCTGAGTGTGCCGGGCGTGGCTGTGACTGGGCTTTCTTGCAACGTTTTCAGACTTTCAGGAGTCAGCCGCTAATTTTGGGTTTTACGGACACCACACACAGTGAAAACTGGTATGGCAGGAGGGGCTGGGGACTGTCAGCCTCGTGGATGTCGCCACACAGCTGGAGGACCTGGGAGCCTCTCTCCAGCCTGCTTCCGTAGGCAGTTACTGCTGGCCTCACTTTTCCCTTCTCTGAGCCGAATCACGAGCATGGGCCGCTGGCCCCTGCTGGTTGGAGGAGCCATGTGTGGGATGGAGCCCTCCTTGCTGGCTCCCAGTGACCAGAAGTGGGCAGAGCGCACGCTCGCATGCTTGGAAGGCACTGGAGGGCACGGGGTCCTGGTTCCCGTGTGTGGTGCACGGGGAATTGAGCTGTTCTCAGATGGGTAACTGAAGGAGAGGCTTGCTTTTTCCAGGTGAAGGGAAGTATTAAAAACAGTCACAGAGGACCAGCCAGATAGCTCAGTGGATTAAAGTGCCTGCAAGCTGGCACAGGGGACGGGGGTTTGATCCCCGGGCCTGTTGTGCCAGCCCTGCCCGCAGGGCACACTGAGCTGGTGATTGAGACTGGGCGTGGTGGTGTGCACCTGTAATTCCAGGGTTTGGGAGGCTGAAAACAGGAGGACCACTACAAAGTCCAATCTGTGTAGTGAGACACTGTAGACCCCGTACTAAATACAAAAAAAAAAAAAAAAGAAAAATTCCGGTCACAAGACATTTTGTAAACTGTTGAAAAATGACACTGGAGAAGAACTGATAAGTAGTTGGCGTTGCAGATAGCGTCTGAAGAGGCGCTCAGGGGATGAATGCAAGGCGTTCATGAAGCAGACAGATCTGCTCTTTGTCCCCGCGTCCGTGGCCTGTTGGGTGGGACAGGCTGTGTCCTGTGTGCCAGCTGAGCTGGGGAGTCCGCGTGCAGCGGGCTGCGTGGCGCCAGGGGCTCAGGGCTGTGTGCTTTACTCTGCAGACATCGGCCTGGGGAGTGACTCCGTGTGCGCGCGCCCCTCCTCGCATCGCATCAAGTCCTTCGACTCCCTGGGCTCCCAGTCTGCACACAGTCGGACTTCAAAACTGTTCCAGAGCCAGTACAGGAGTTTGGTAAGTTGGGGAAATCTTACTGTTTAAACTCAAGTAGGTCTGGGGACATGAGCGTGTGCCGGTGTGTGTGGGGGAGCACACTTGTGCTACAGCGCCAGGCAGGTGTGAGGCTTTGCTTCCTGTCTGCTGCAGGGTGCCAAGGCCGGCTCCTCACCAGAGCCGCTGGGCTGTGCAGAGTGAGTGCTGCCAGAGCCCTTGCTCGTGTGGGGTACACTAAGGCACCATGCCCCGCTGGAGAGATGACGCTTCCTACACTCTGCCTCATCACGCTAGTTTATCTGTGGTGCACAGATGGGTAGAAATAGTGAGAAATCTGTGTGTAGAGGTACATAGCTGTACAGCGGAAGAGAGGCGTAGGACTAAAGACTCAGGAAGTGACTTGTTCTCTCCCAGAAAGCGTGGCTTTAGAGCGTTCCTAAGATGCAGGCATTTCCCAGAGGGGAGCCCCTCGTCCCCTGCTGCTCAAGTTGGGAGGAGGGGGAATGGATGGATAGGTGGGTGGTCATTCTGGGGAGGGACCAGGAGCCCACTTGGAAGTGCTCAGGGTACAGGCTCTGACTTGACAGGGAGGCTGGAGATGACTTTAGGGACAGCACTCACGTAGGATTGGACCCCACTGCCTGGGGTCACCCCAGCTGCTGCCCCTGGCAAGACATGCCCTCTTGGGCGCCCGCTGGCCTTGGCAGTCAGCACCTGTGAGCGTGTGGCTTCCTGATTGGCTCTCTTTAGAGGCACACAGTCAGTTGTAGTGAGAGTCTAAGGAGAGCCTGCTTCTTCAAGAGACTTCAGGCCCCTCCACCACCCTTCCACTCTGATCTGGTGAGGTTTGTACGTTTTGTGAGTTGAACGTCATTTAGAGAGTTGGTGTTAAAGCAAAGTGCCATGAGGGAATGTGGTTATCTCTGCTGTAGTGTTTTGAAGTGAGACTAACTGGGCTGTCTCCTGTTCCTGGGCTGGCCATGCAGGGGTGGTGTCCTGGGGCCTGCGGCCACCATCCCTGGTCAGAGAACCTGACGCTGGCGGAAATTTGCAGAATACCCTTGTGAGTGTCATGATTCCAGACTGAGAAGAAAAGCTCAGGCCACCTGGATCGTAACCTGAGTTAGCTTTGTGACATCTGGGAGGGAAAGGTAGATCAGCACACTTGCCCTTCCATCATGGCAGTTCTTTTACTTTTTTTTTTTCCTAAGTAAAGGAGGAGTGGATTGCAAGTGTACAATTTCAAATAAAATAAAGTATAAGGTTGGTAATAGACATTTCTGAAATCATAATTAGATGAGGCTTCCCTGTTTCTTCACAGAAGGCAAGCGGTGCTTGAGAGAAGGGGCCTGCCCGCCTCCCTCTTGCTGTGGGCGGCTGCTGGGATGTGGCCTCCCGCCCCTTCTGCGCCTTGCCTGCCTTCATTGGTCTGGGACCCGAGGGTGGCTGGGTCTTTGTCCTTGGAATTTTCGGAGAGTGCTTAGCGGTAGCTAGCACCACGAGGAGTTTTCTCTTGGATTAGATGTAGTCTGTAGTGAGGCGAGAGTGGCCAAGTGTGTGTCAGACCTGGGTGCTGTGGCACGGAGGATCCCGTTGTCATCTGCCTTCTTCTGTGATTGTGCTGCCACCACCGAGCTGAAGCTAACACAGGCTGTATCTGTGGCTTTCGGCACCAGTTTGGGTCACTTAACACTGTGCTTGGAGCACTGTGCTGCAGACACTGTCTGTTCCACAGCTGCCACTGAGTGGCTTTGCCCCGCCACTTGGCAGAGCTGGTGGTTCTCCGCGGGTCGCTGCTGCAGGCTGATTTCTGCCGTGGGTGTCTAGGAGACCTGAGTGGCTTGGGAGTGTGGTTGACCCTGCAGTGGGAGCTGACACTTCCCCGTGGGTGTCTCTCCATGTTCCGGGGGTGGCGTCCTCTGGCTCCTCTCAGATGTGCTCTCCATCGGCCCCACTCTGAGGGCCTCGCACCCGGAGGGAAAATGAGGGGTTAAGAGTGTGGTGGACCCGGGCTGGGGTTGCCTGTTGAAGTCCTTTTTTCCTTGTTTCTAGGACAGAATACCTGACACCTGCAAAATGTGGCTGCCAGGGTCCCACCTTGTGGCCACCTGATTCGCTAGCAGTGTTCTCACCAGCTCCCCATTAGCTGCAGAGGGCCTGTGTGCCCGTCTGCGTGCATCATTGTTGCCCTGTCAGGCAGCAGAGTAGGAGTGCGACCTCTGGCTGCCTCTTCAGACCTGTTGTATTGGTGACGGTGGATGTGTAAAGCACTCGTATACACTCAGCAAGATGGGCTTCTGCCCGCCGGGCGTTGCCGAGCGCCGGGCGTTGCCGAGCGGGCAGCATCGGGTAGCTGCAGGCACCTCGGGGATCCCTGTTCATTTCCTCCAGTACAGACGAGGCGTGCCTGTCCTTGGTTTGCTCTGTTGTGTTATAGACAGTCCTGGAACAGCTTGCTGAGCCCAGCAGATAACAAACCGTGGTTTCAGATTGCTGCTTTAACAAGGGATTGGAGAGGGTATAGTGGTTCACGTCTGCCATCCTGGCACTCTGGAGGGCTGAGGCAGGAGGACCAAAAGGTTGAGCACAGCCTGGACAACTCAGTGACATGCAAGACCCTGTCTGAAAATGAAAAAGGGGCTGGGGGTGCAGTGCAGTGTAAGGGTGCCAGATTCAGTCTCCAATGCCAAGAAAAGGAAAAAAAGAAGAAAAGGACCTTCCCGTGATGGGACAGTGCTTATATTTGTTCTGCGCTGTGTCCTTTGACACTGGTAGCAAACAGTGAGCGGAGCCCTCCTTCCTAGCCCTTGTCTTGAAGTGGGATGTCCAGCTGCAGCAGAGCTCTTCCGGAGCCCCGCTGGGGCCTGTCCCCAGCATCCCACCCCCTGGCCTCTGTGGAGCAGCAGTACGTTAAGGCAGTCAGCACTCCCTGGCTCCGGTGCCGAGTGCTCAGGAAACTGGGAACTCTGCACAGCTGTGGACAGCTGCCTGTGCCCATCCTCGGCAGTGCTGGTGCTGAGGCTCCTCTCTGCACTTAGAAGTTGCTCCTGCTTGCTTCCCTGGCCCCACAGTCCAGGCTGGAGGGCTCCTGGCTCTCCTCCGTGTAGCTTGGTTTCCCTTCTGCTCCATCCCCTCTTCTCTGCAGAGCTTTGCCTGGCTGCTGGCAGGACCGTGCCTGGCGTGTGTGCCTTGTGGGCCTCCCTCTCATAGGCTTTTCATCAGGTGGGAGTGCACGCCATATGCATTACAGGAAGTGTGGTGCGGTGCTGATCCTGGTCACCACCTGGTCTGCAGGAGGAGACTGGATGCCACGTGGCACCCAGAGGGGTCCCTCTCCCGGGAGCAAGGACATGTGGGGTGCTTCTCTGTGTGTTGCTCTCCTACCTTACCATCAGAGGGCTGGGAATGCGGCATTTGAGCTGAAACCAGCAGTAGCAGCCTTCCCTGCATGTTGAGAGATTTTGATAGTAGATTCTTGGGCTGTGTTGTGTTTTGTTTAATCTTTTAACAGTGTTTTGAATTAATAAATGGCACATTTGTAATTATTGGTTAATGTTTGCCATTTAAACATGCCTCTGAGGCAGTCGTTGGGAAGATTCCTGCCGTCCCCACTGCTCTTTGCCGGGACCTGCTGTGTCTGCTTGCCCTCTGCTGGGTGTGTTGGTGGTGGGCCCAGCTCCGCAGCTTGCTGCTCAGCCACTCCTGGTTGTTTCCTCTGCTCTAGGTTTTTGCTTGGGTGTGTCTGAATAAAATACCTGTTTTCTTTTGGCTCATTTCCAGTGCTGTCCCTGTGGACTCTCTTTCCATCTGGCCTGGATGGCCTGGATAGGTGGGTGCCCTTTCCGCAGGAGCCAGGTGCCCCCCTGACCTAAGCCAAATCTGTGTCGGGTCCATGATTCGGACCAGGCTACCAGTGTTCCTGTGGAGCCATGTCTTAACCAGTGGCTCTTCTTCCTTTCCTCACAATAGTGTTCTCTGGGGTGCGTCTCTGCGTCCCTGTTGCAGATGGCAGCCCTGTGCTAAGATTCCCTTTTTGCACACTCCAGCACGTTAGAGCTTTTCTCACTGTGCCTGAGCCCTACACCCCATGCCCTGGTCAGCCTCGGGCTCGCTGTGCAGCGCACAGGCTGGGCTGCTTCCCCTCCTCTGGGGTGCCCTCTGACCTGTGGTGCTCATACTGCTTCACACCTTTCTTGTTCCCGGGGTTTTACCTGTTCTGAAGGCACATGCTTTTCACAGTTACTTAAATATTTCAGGATCCTGTATATGCACAGGTGTATGTTGAGATTTTCATTGCCTTTGGTTTTCAGATGTCTAATTACTATATAAGGTGTGACCTGGCTGAGTGGCTTCATGATGGTGATCCGCCGAGAGGTTCCTTCAGGCCCCAGAGACTGTAAGTGTGCAGTTTTGCCCACTCTGGGTCGCCTTCCTCCTCTCCACTGCCCATAGCCTCAGTGCCGGGGAGAGCCCTGTCATCCCAAGAGGCCCTGGCTCTGCTTGGAGTTTTCCCTCGTAAGTCAGTTTGAGTAGTTTTATAAGTCCTATTTTTTCCTGCCGAGGTTTTCTGCTTCTCTTTTTACCAACCTCAGGAGAATTTGTTGTTGCTGCTTGTAGACTGTGGCTCTTGTGGTGACTCCTATTTCTGCTTCCTTCTGTTGTGCTGTTGCATTGCTTGGTGGTTGGAATTCCTTTGTTCAGCTGTGAGTGTCCTGCTTACGGGAATGTTTCTGCTGCGTCCCAGCCACCTCGAAGATGGGTGCTGGAGTGGCTGGGTCCTCTGAGCCTCTGTCTCTGCTGGCCAGGGCCTTGTGTCCCCTGGCCTCTGTTCCTGGCTGTGCACCCATGGTATGGCAGTGTAGTTGGCTGCTGTGGCCTGCTTGGTTTTGGAGTTTCCCAGGGGGAGGGTGGCAGAGGTTGGAGAAATAAAGATAAGGGATAGAAAGCTGAGGTCAGGTGGTGTCCTCTTTCCAGATGGAAGGTAGGGAACTGCCCCGCCACTGTAGTGTGTTTGTTCGTGCATTTGGCAGGTTAGTATGGTGTGACATCCCTTGCCTAGCAACCCATGCCTTGGATTGTCTTGGAGCCTGGTGTTCTGTGGACTGATGCAGCTTGTTCATGTGGTTTGCGCTGCAAGCTCTCTGCTGTTCTCCCGCCAGGCTGGCCTTGTCCTTACATACGGGATCCGTTTCCAGCTTCAGCCCCTTCCTACAGGTGGTTCCTGCTGGAAAGGTGCTGAGGGCCGTGTGTGGAGGGGGTATATTGAGAAGAGCCGGTGGATTTTCCCCTGTGGGAGGCGAGTCGGCATGGTGCCTTGTCTCCTGAGGCTCTGCTGGGTTGCCCCTTTCTACTCTGGCAGTGATCTAGGGAAACCTCACCTAGGCGGAAGAGACAGTGGCCTGTGGGCTCTCCTGCCCTAGACGCAGTGTATAGCTCTGAGAGCAGCAGTGGTGGGGGCAGTGTTCTCTCTGTACCCACTTGGCAGGAGCTTGGCACAGTGGGAGCCTGGACTCTGCAGTGGGCATTTCTTAGTGGGGATTTGTAGACCTTTTTCGAAGTTAGTTTAGAAATATGTGTTAAACCTGCAGTGAGTTGTGTGTGTCCTCTGACGAGAAGGTACACTCCAGGTGTGTTTCTATTTGTGTGTAGGGATGGGTGTGCAAGCATTTGTAATGCAGCCTTGGTTTTCAAAACAAGAGAAATACTTTAATTTATAGAAAAATGCCATGAATGACCCCAAAGTGTACGAATAGAGAGGCTGATTAAGTAATGGCACAGTCAGGCAGCACAGTGACACCTGGGTCATGGCTGGTGTGTTCTGCTGGGGAATTGAGCACAGTGATTGTGCCCCGTGTGTGGTAGAGATGTGGCTTGGGGCCATCTGAGTGTGTGAGCAGGTATGTGGGCCTTGCAGGCCTTGCCGGTCGGGGCAGGCACCAGGGACAGACTGGGACTGGAGCGGCCTGACCTGAGCCTTTCTGGGCGTTCTCCCATGCTTGGGCTCCTCTTGCACGACAGTGACTTGTGATTGGATGCCGAGGATGGTAAATGAGTAAGTGCTGTGATGTTCTTCCTCCCCCCTCCCTGTTTCTTAGGACATGACCGATAACAGCAGCAGTCAGCTGGTAGTAAGAGCCAAGTTTAACTTCCAGCAGACTAACGAAGATGAGCTGTCGTTCTCGAAGGGCGATGTCATCCACGTCACTCGAGTGGAGGAAGGAGGCTGGTGGGAGGGCACACACGACGGCAGGACCGGCTGGTTCCCTAGCAACTATGTGCGCGAGATCAAGCCCAGTGGTGAGTTGGGCCTGGGCAGGGGGCTGTGCTGCTGCCTCAGCTCTGGGGAGGAGGAGGGAGCGCATGGGTGGGGTGTGCCTCCCTGCACTGGGGTGCCCAGTAAAGGGCTCAGTTCTGAGAAACTGGCTTGAAACTCTCTCCTGACATTTTGTTTTGCAGATAGAAAGAGAAACATCTTAAACCTGTGAAGGTCCCTGTACCCCCGGCCCCCATCCCCTCCCAGTTGAGGCAGGATTGCTACATTGCCCAGGCTGGTCTTGAACTCTCGGATTCAAGCATGCCCCTGCCACACCCCTGAGGTAGCTGGGACCATAGGCGCACCCCGCCACGCCCCACCGTCAGGCTTCTTGTTACACTTCCATGTTAAGATGTACTTTACCCTTTTCCAGGGTCAGCACTGTGGCTTGGGGGCGGTAATTCGTAGGCTGCATTTCAGTGTCATCGACGTGGGTGCTTTTGCCAGTCATGTGGGTGGGTAGTTTCGGCCATGTTTTGGTACCAGTAATCATATTTACATTTATCTTTTGCCTTTGTTTCTGTGATTGACACTGGTTATTTGCCTGTTCCAGACTGGTCTTTGGAAGGCCAGTGTTCTTTTGCAGGGGAATGCATACCGCAGTAGTCTTTGCTTTGTTTTTAGACAGCCTAGCAGGATCTTTTCTCTGAGGCTGGTGGTTTGGGTCCTGCCATGTGGCTGTGGCTACGAAAGTTCTACAAAGCACTAACTGTGTGCCTGGTCCAGGGTATTCATGGGCCACAGTGCCATTGGTCACCCGACATAGTGGTCGCCTGGTAGGCCAAGGCCACAGAGCGGCAGTGTGAACTGAGGGAAGCTCTAAGCAGAGCGCTGCGTCTCGTGAACACCACTGAGTAGTTCTTGCCTTGCAGCTACTTCACTTTAAGGCAGAAAAGACAAAGCTTATAGATGGGAGATGGAAATTTTGCTACAAAAATATTTTCTCTGTGATAGTTTTTCTCTGTAATATTTTCTCAGAAGATAAGTATTTTACCATGGCAGCAAGCAGCTCTGATTGTGGAATTCTGTGATGTTGGATTTTGGAGACAGCGCACAGCTGTTCCCAGTATGATCATATAAAAAGTTCATAATGTACACCTCACTATTTTAAGCATTTCGAAGTGTTTATAGTATAGCATTGATCACATGTTGTTGAGTAAGGGGAGTGGGTACCCACCACCACCACCCACCTCTAAGGTCCAATCTAGGGAGCACTGGCTCGCCGCTCCCTTCCCCAGGCTGTGTCCCCGCTGCTCTGTCTGTCTCTGTGAATCTGGTGGCTCTCTTCAGGAACCCACGCAAGGGGGAGCCTACTGTTTTAATTGTTTTAACACCCTTATTTCACTGAGCATGAAGTGCTCAGCACCCACACTGGTTGTAGCATGTGTCTGATGTCCTTTGCTGGGGCTCAGTGATAATCTTGAGTATGTGCTGAGTGTGTTTGCCTGCTCGTGGACTCCCAGGGGGCCTCCAGCTTCTGCTTTTGCTTCTATTCAGTGTGCACTCTGCTGGGCTTCTGATGGGGCGATGCCTGGGCAGACTCATTGAAAGTTTTAGCCTCCGAAGTCTGAAGTCCATTTAGTCGCTCCCGACCTGCTGACTGTCGTAGCTCAGCCTAGCCACTTACGCACGCACACGGCAGTCATGCAGCCTGCAGCTGGGCATCATGGGAGTTGTATTGCATAGTGCTACCCTGGGAAGAGGTCAGGACTCTTGTTAGCACAGCTTCTACTCAGTGTGCCTTACTTTTGACCAGTGTGAATTTCAGTAAGGGCAGGGCTGTCACTGTATACTCAGGAATGAGATTTCTGGATCAGATGGTAATCGAAGGCTTAATTTTTAAGGAACTGCTATTCTGTCTTCTAGAGTTTGGTACCATTGGTGTTGTACAGTCCCACCAGCAGTGTGCCAGAGTTCAGGTTCTCCACATCCTCGCCAGCCTAGGTGTTTTTGATTATATCCATTCTGTGGATGTGATAACTGTAACCTGTCGACTTGCTTTGAGTAAGACTGCGTTGGCAGATTAGTAAATTCTGAGCGTGTTCCCGGATGATCAGACTGAAGTCTTCCTTGTCCGGATGTGGTGGCATCAAGCACTAGCCGGTAGCCTGGTGGCTGGACGGGGAGGAGGAGTCTGCGCTTTTGTTAGAGGGCCTGTGGGCTTCCGCGTTGCCTCTGAGCGTCAGTCTCCAGCACGGACTCTCCAGCCTTCTGCTGTGGGCTGCTTAGCTTTGCAGCACGTGCCCAGCCACAGCACAGAGCGCTTCCGGGGCTTTAGTCCTCTCTAGCCGCTGGGTCCTCCAGCTGCCCGGTTTGGATTTTTCTGCCTCTTGATTCCAAGGGCAGCTCTTGTGATTCCTCCCTTACTGATCCTATTATCTACCTAATAAGTCTTTGGAATAATTAAACATATATTTTATTTGATTGTGTTATTCTAGTGAACTCTAATAGAGAATTTGGTACCTAGAATGGAGTTGTTGCTGTAACTGCCCTGGCCATGTGACTGGAGCTGGGTCGTAGGAGGAATTTGGAGTTACAGTCTGGAGAATCAGGCTTGGTTAGAGATTCTGGTTAAAGCTCAGAAGGCTGGAATTCTGATGGAAATACAGGTTATAAAGATCAGGCACGGGAGGTTTCAGTTGCATACAAGGACTCTATTGACAGTTGGGGTAGGGACCTTGTGTGTATGCTTTAACACAACTTTGTCTTGAGTTTTGCTTATGTCCTGAGATGAGATTGAAATTAAGGGTGGTGAACTAATTAATCTGGCAGAGGAAATTTCAAGGCAGACCAGCATTTAGGCTGTGGGTTACATATTGCTTGAAGCTTTTAGTCAGGATTGTCCTGTGAAATGAGCAAGAAGCACATTTAAAAAGTTATCAGCTTGGCCAAAAGGAAATGTCTACAAAGGTAGTGCCTTGGAGAGTGGGGTTGCTAGGATTAAAAGTAAGCCAATAACTTGGCATCAGGACAATAGGAGGAATGCCTTGAAGGCACCCTGGGAACCTGCCACACCTCACCCTTACCAAGGCTAGGACTTTTGAGAAGAACGACCCAGGGTATTCTGCTCCAGAAGGGATTTCGTTGCCAAGATTTGGTTCTCAGCTATCAAGTTGCTTGAAGGCTTCTGCAGCCATGATTCAAGCGGCCCCAGCTACTGCTTGAGCTGACAGCAGGCCTTGGTATCATTCATGTGCTGCTGGTTATATGGGTATGTAGAATGCAAGAGTTGGGGTCATGGAATCTTTCACACAGGTTTTACAAGAAGACCTAGGAGGCTAGAGAGTGTCCTTGGAAAGGCCAGTGTGTGAAGCTGTGAGTGCAGCCAAAAGTGCATGGAGACCCAAAGAAGTTGGAGAGGCTAGGAATGTGAAATACCTGAGGAAAGCCACAGGCAGGGAGTAGAGCCGCCCCAAGGAGGGACCAGGAGGGTTCCACCTGATAGGGCCACAGGGGTAGGGCCACCAAAGGCATTTGAAGTTTATAGTTTTGCCTCATGTGCTGGACGTGGAGTTAGGAGGTGTAATTCTTTTTCCTCTGTAGGACCTCTTGATTTGCTGTGCTGGGTTTTGTCCTTGCTTTTGTCCTGTTGGTTTCTATCTATCCCTCTGTTCCTGTGTTTTGGGATAGGACTGCTTACCCTGTGCCATTGTATGTTGGAATGTTTACTCTTCTCTGTGATTTTTTATTTAGTTACTTTTAATAGGGGCTCACAGTTAAGAGCTGCTTTGATTCTCAGGAGAGAATTGAGACTTGGGCTTTTCAGCACTGTTAGAACTGTTAAGACTTAGCCAGGTATGGTGATGCATGCCTGTATTCCCAGCACTGGGAAGCTGAGGCAAGAGGATCACTGTGAGTTGGAGACCAGTCTGGGCTACAAAGTGAACTCAAGGCCAGCCTGAACTGCATAGAGAGAGCCTGTCTCAGAAAGACAACAGCAACAAAAAAGAGCAGTTAACACTTAGGTTACCCTTCGAGATGAACTGCATACAATTTGCATGCAGAGATGCCTGAGTCCTTGTGGGGCCAGGAGTGGGCTGTTATGGTTCAGGTCAGAAATGGCCCCCACTCCTTTTGTGCTTTGGAAGAGGTTGGATGCTGGGCTCTCAGCTGACTGCTGTTGGGAGGGGAGGCCCCGGGCGTGGTCTGGACGCTCTGCTCCTGCCGGCCCCGCCCTTCTGTCTGTCTGCTGACCCCATGGTGTCAGACTTCCAGCCAGCCAACTGTGGCTACACATGTGAGCTAAAATAAGCTTTTTCTTCCAGGGCCGGGGAGATGGCTCAGTAGAATAAGCGCTTCCCTGGCAAGCGCAAGGGTCTGAGTTCAATTCCCCGTTCTGCCAAAACAAAACAAAACAAAATAAGCTTTTCCTCTCAGTTGTGGGTGTCAGGTTTGTTTCCCAGTGATGAGAAAGTAACTTAGACAGGTTTTGTAGCAAAAGTGAGGCTGTGGGCGCGAAGCGGTAGCTCCTGCTTGCTGTCGTTGTAGTTATGATACTATAAAGCGGTAGTACTCTTCATTTTGACCATAAAATCCACTTAGCTAAGATTTTTTGGCTGCTTATTATGTTCTAGTGACTGTCCGTGTTTTTTAGATCTGTGGCCTCAGGCCTTATTATAGCCTCAGAAGATGAGTGTGGCCAAGATTTCAAGGAAGTAGGGAAAATAAGTGAGAACCTTTGCCAAAAGCCCCGTCCCCGTGTGCAGCCAGGAGAGAGACCAGCTTCCGCTGGGGTGTGGCTGTGGGACACATTGTGGTTTGGGTGGGGCCCTGGGAAGATGGGCAGGGGGCAGGATGTGACTCCACATTGGGCCTGGCAGGCGTGGGCCAGGCCTGCCTGACAAGTGGCAGTCCAGTGGCTCTCGAGTTCTTCGTGGGCTGCTTAGTAAACGGAGGCTCTTAGCCTGGGTCACTGCAGGAGTGCAGTTGCCTCTTCACAGGTGTTTTTCCCTGTGCTCACGTTGTTGGGGCCACGTCACGGCTG